TTCTTACCACGAGTATATAAAAAATTATTTCCACCCTTATAACAGCAAAGTTCACTGTTATAATTCTTCTTATATTTATGATCCTCTCATATAAGCTCTGTAAAACTGTTATTTTTTGTTATTCCCTTCAGCGTGCTGTATCAAGCGAATGTTAGATTCAATACTTCATAAAATTCTAAAAATTCTATACTGTATCTACAATACTGGTTGAAACAAACCCACGGTTATTAATTACCAATACTATTAGCATTATAGTTATTATCCTCATTTATACTTTGCACATTTTTAACTTTAATCCTACTGTAAATTTGGAAAAGGTCCTGTGGTTAACTTGATTTTTATTTTGAGTAAATCAGATGCAATATTGTGACAAATGCTCAGAATTCCATGCTGCATTACAAGTACTGCTGTTTTTTAGAATAAAGCAGATTATTACTATTATTACAAATTCTGTATTGTAATATACCTGATAGTGAGTTCAATGTTACATTTAGCCAATATTATGTCATACACATGCTTCTTAGATGTAATAATAATAATAATAATTTACTTTATTCCAAAAACAGTACTTGTGATACAGAATGGAATTTTCAGCATTAATCACAATTTTATTGCATCTAATTTCCTCAAATTATAAATAAAATTAATCACACAGAAAATTTTCCACACTTACAATAAAGGTAGTGTCAAAAAAATGCAGCATATAAAATGGAAATAATAATAATAATGATAACAGCTAGGGTAATAATAATAAGAATACAAGTGAAAATTGCCGTTGGCTTGTGTCATACAGTATTGACAATGTGGTATAGAAATCCTAACATGTTTAAAAATATTGAGTATAATGTTCTCTTTACATGATGTAGTGAGGGGAAAACAAAGATTACAGCCGTCATGGAGATAAGCTGGTGTTTGCAATTATGAGGGTAAAACAAACAAACAACATGACCATAAATATAACAGAAATAATAAAAGTAAAACTTTGAAGGTATATGAGGATGGATGGATGGAGGAAATTGCTTATTTACTAGATGAAAAACGGTTAGTTAATTCTTGCCTGACACTATTTTCATCACATAAAATACGTGCCAAGTATGGTATCATAGAATTCTTATACTTAGACGTGCGAGCATACAGTTTTCTGAAGTTACTCCTTGTTCTACCTGAGGAGATGTAAGGTGAAAGCTGAGGGTAAAGCGGATGCTTCAAGTCAGACAAAATCCCTTTAGCAAATTTATTGCATGAAGTCAAATGCCTATCGACAACAACGTTAACTATGTGGTCCACTGGGACAACACTCACCCTACTGACAGTCTTCAGTATTCTACGAATTGTGACATAGTCCTTTTTAAGCAAACCAGGAAAGAATAAGCAAGGGTGAGCAATAAAGAAGAATAGGTAGGATACAAGAGTTTATGAACTGTAAGAGGAGGGTTTGAGTTATACCCGAGCGTCTTAACTTCTTAATGTAAAATGTCAGGCGGAATATTTTACTGGAGATTGCTAAGACATGGGAAGACCAGGAGAGAGAGATCAGAAGAGAGAATAATAATAATCCATTGATAATAATCGTAATACCATGTTTCTTAGAGACTGTGATTCTCTCCGGAACCTTTCGAGTACAAACTTCAATATCTTTTCCTGAATCTACGTACTTTATATGGAGAAACCCAAAATGGAAACTCTCAGAATTTCATTGCTGCCAGCCAATATTTTTGTAAACGTCTGGGCGACAATATTATTCTGACATTAGACACATAAAGGAACAACAAGGTAAGATGTAAGGATAACTGAATTTTCGGCGGTTACATTCTCAAAAGTAGCTGTACAATCACAATTATATACATAAGTTTACACAGATACAATTATGACTTAATTCCAGTTGTGATAAAGAAGAAAATGAAGGGTGATAGCTATTATCAAATTCATATAAAAGTTCAAAGTTGCAAATATAAGTAACAAGAGGCTTTGAAGCAAAGTTACACAGGATTGAAGAACAGTTTTCTAACGAATATAGGTGTGGACAGGATGAGCATGGAATAAAAATTGAAATTATAAATTTTTGTGATAACTGAAGATGAATGCAGGGAAATGCAAACATAGAACTATATCCATAATAAACTTAAAATTGAAACCAGTTTCATTGAACACATTGCTCCAGGTTTTTGGATGCATATGGCAATGGTTACCACGATACAAAGAGGTTGGAAATACACCATCTTCGACAGATTGCTTTCACAAGTGCTGTAAAGGTGTTCAGTTATAGTGCTTCTTTGCAGCCATGCTTTGAAATATTATCTAACACGCTTTGAAACGACACACACACAGAACCACCTGTATGCCTAGCTCCTCACAACCAGGTGAATAGATATATGTACGCAATGCTTAGGGTTAGTGGGCAGCTTGTGTGGAGTCACGTAGAGTAGTCATTCTATTCACTGTGTGAATCGAAAAGTGGGAGCTATCTGTTCAGAGGAAACTGGACCAACTTCTACATTTAACATGGATCTAGTTCATATTCACTCGTCAGTTTTCTTTTTTTTTGAATTTTTTTCCCTTTTCATTCCACTCAGCCCCTTTTTCATTAAAGTGACAATGAAAACTGTTACTTCAGCTTGTCTCCGTGTTTACCCCATTCACACCTGTATTCGTTAGAAAACTGTCTTCTAATCCTGCTTGATTTTGTTCCTAAATTCCTTGTTATCTATATTCACCCAATCGAATTTTCATATCCATTTGGAAATAACTATCACCCTTCATTTTCTTTTTTTTAAGGGTGGAATTAAGTCATAACTGTATGTGTGTTAACTTATGCAAATAAATGAAAGTGTACAGCCACTTTTGAGGATGAAATTGCCGAGAAGGTGGTTATCTTTGTTTCCTACCTACTTGTCGTTTGTCCTCTAATATCCTTTTGGATATTTTGTGCAATTTTTCAAACAATTAAGAATGACTGTTAGGCTCAAAGACTGTGCTTATGAAATTAGTGACACGGTCAACTTTAGTATGTGGGACACAAATAGCCAGTCGGATGTACAACTATTCACTCAGTTTATTATTACTATTGTTCTTTTGAGTTTCGAGTGTTGTATTTTCTGCGAGCCTGTTCATCTGGCTCCACGATTGCCTATAAACTCTGATCTCTTCATCGTACTATCTCCTTCGTGTCAAAATCCAGCTTCCCACTCGGTTTCCACTCAAGAGCCTATGGCGAGATGTCACCTGACCGTCTCCTCAACGTGTATCGAATCCATCTCTATTCTATTCAGGATATTTCCTGAAAAGTAGGTTTCTCGTTTGTCCTTTACCAGAGTTTCGTGTTACCGATTTGTTCTGGCCATTTGTTTTTTAATCAGGAACCGGTAAAGGAGGCTTATTTTGTTAAAAGTATGCAGTGTCGTGTAGGAAATGCACTTGATGACGTGCTAGCCAAGTTTCTTACCCATATAGAAGAATTGACCGATTTAACAATAGTGTTGAAAATATGAATAACGTTCTTTCTGGCGAAGATTTACAAGCTTACTTCAGATGGATGAAGGTCTCTTTTGACTTTTTGATTCTCGGTTTAATATCCTTAATGTTCCGCCAGTGGTTGAGACAATGCTTCCTAGTTAACTGAAGGAAGTAACCTATTTCAGATCTTTCATATTGATGGTGACTGGTATTAGTTGTTGTTGCTGTTGATTAGTTGGTTGGTCAGTTATCTTCATCACCTCTGTAGTGTCTGTGTTCCCCTGGATGAAGTCTTGTCTACGATGCCGGCCAGCCTCTTCACCAAGTCTTTCCTCGGTTTTCGCCTTTAGGTCTTCGAGTTTCTATGAGACTAGACATTCATCATCCTAGAGTGTTCTTATTGGTGCAGTATATTCCTAAAAGGAAACACAGTATACTTTTTTCATATATTTGTGCAAATGAGGCAAGCTTGTATATCTTTCGGCCACTGGGACCTGATTCAATGGTAACTCCATGTATTCTAGCCTTCACCAACTCGTGATTGAGCGTGACTGTCACGAACCAATATCGTCAGTGGGATATCCATGGTCACACTTAACTGGATGTACCTCAATGATCATGACTTCTCTGGAAGAGGTTAAGTCTTTGTGTTATCTAGGAAGCATCGTCTCAGCTACTGGCAGGACAGATGAATACGTCAAAGGCAGAATCCGAAAGACACGAAAGACCTTCATCACTCTGAAATTAGTGTGCAAATCTTCTGTACTCAACACAAAGAATACAATCCAGATTTTCAATATTGTTGTAAAACCAGCCAGTTCTTCTTTAGAAAGGTCAGAAACTTCTTCGAGGCTTGCTTGTGACTTGCTACAGGACGAAGTTTCCTTGAGAAGTCGTTACCAGTTAGGTTCATCCAGTCAAAAGTGGGGACGGACGCCCCATCGATGACATTGATTCGTGCCAGTCGCGCCAAATCATGAATTGGTAGAAGTTAGAATTCATTGCTCGGCTATTGAATCGGGTCCCAGTGGCTGAATGGCATACAAGGTTGCTTTGTAACCGGAAGGTCCTTCGTTCAAACCTTGGTGAGAGGTGTGTACTGTCCATGATCCCAAACTAGGATGAAACAGTCAGCAGTCCAATACTTCCTGGCTGGTTCTCAATGGTTCTCTAACTGACATCAGTCCGTGATCAACTCGTTAAGGCAAACCAACTATAGAAAACAAAACTATTTAAAAAGAAACTCTACATTTCCAGTATTTACAAGAATTTCATGAAATAGATTTTTTTTAGAGTAAAATTACAAACTGAGAAGAAAATAACAGCTATCGCATAGCATAACAAAAATAAAGTTGAACGTTCAATGGTTTCAATAACCACATTTGTTTCAAATCGATTGTCTTCAGTTTATATAGCACCACATCCAATTTAATCAGTATGTCGTTTATAGGTATTTCGTGATTGGTTATCATTCTTGTTGTTCTTGTTAATGTTGTACGTGTTGTTTAAATATTCCACAATTTTCGTCCCGACATATGTGAAAAACATTAGATTTAACCATACGCTCACATAACTTATATATCGTAAAGGAAATCCATACTTCAATATTTCTGGATACGGGCTTGTATTCCATAGAAGGATTCCAGTTTCAACACTAAAAGCAAAAAAGTAGGAGAAAAATGGGAATTGTTGAAAAGGTTTTGTAAAACGTTAGGCCTGAGTAAGAGGGAAGTGGATCAACTAATCTAGGTCTAAACAAGATCACCGAATTATGTTGAGCACTAGGTACTGTAAGGTATGTATGATTCCACGAATGTACTGCAAAACCAAGTCGAAAATTAGGATCGTAGGAAAGAAATTTAGGCCTAATGTATCCTGTCGTTAGTACACTCAGGAAAGAGAGAAGATTAAATACGAATGAGTACAGGGATTCCTGTCCTTGAAAACAACACCAAACGTTAAAGAATTTCCTGACTTGGAATATCAATCTTCCACTTTAGGGAAGGGTTAGTTTCACTCAAACAGTTAATTACTTGAGGCTGACAAATTTTTCAACTTAATACATAAAAATAAATTAAATATAATGGAACTACAATTTACAAGGATATAACTGCAAAGGAGAAAATTAGATGAAGCGAAATATGGTTTATAAAGCTCAGAAAGATCTAAATAAGCAGAGATATCTGAGACATTTTGAAATAATTTTTCAAGTATTGGTTTCAGTAGGGATTTTGTTTCATTGGTTGGAAGATTTCATCACGGGCTGACATCATTTAGAGAACCACTGGAAAACCAGCTGGAAGTATCGCCAGATAGCTGTTTTGTCCTCTTTTGGGACTCTCCATCAGTATGAATCCACCACAAGGGTTTGAACTCCAAAATGTCCGGTCACAAGGTGATCATTAGGCCAATAGGACTCAATCCAATCGCCAGCCCATGAATTCCGATTTCTTCAAATTCCCGATATACCGCAAACACTTGGCGATGTCTTCTTCGATGAGTTACTGCCTAACCTTCAACCTGCTGCATTCTACTGGTGACGGCTTCTCACTATTGGATACTCTCTCAGTGGATTATTGGTCTACGAGCTCGCCTTGTAACCAGGGTTCGAACCCTGGGGGCGGGTGTGTGCTGATGAAGAGAAGTCTTAAACTAGGACGAAACAGCTGACTGTCCAGTACTCCAAGGTTTTGCAATGGTTCTCTAACTGTTGTCAGCTCATGATGAAATCATTCAACCAAATAATTTCTCATGTCACCAGTAGTCTTCAAACATCTATTCATGGTTTTGATGAAGTTCATAAATCAGGATACCCTATCGGGCCTATAGATGATTTTATAAATTCACCTACTTATGAATTATCTAGATATTTAGCCATGGTATTAAATCTCCTAAAAAGCCACTCAAAAACTAGACTAACAAATTCTTTTGTATAATAATAATAATAGCTTTATTCCAGAACAGTACTTGTGATACAGAATGGAATTCTCAGCATTTTACTTCAATATTGCATCCATTTAGTACATTAACAATAAGTAAGGTTCTACATAGATTAAGGAAATCTCAGGTCATTAAGACAACAATTTATCAGCATGTCCCCAAAGGCAAAATTAAACAATGTTTGAGGGTGCTAGAAAAGTAGGTTCTAGCATATTTACTGGCGTAAACAGAAGAAAGAAACAAAGCTGCACATAACAGAAAAAAAGAGAGGGAGAAAAGGGAAAGAAAGAAAGAAAGAAAATGTTGTAACTATAAATGGTGATACTTGCAAAGACGAGATCTAGTTGTCCTACTGACTATTCAATAAGTTAAAGGTTTCACGCCTAATGCTTTCTTTATCGTACAGAACACGAGCTAAGTAGGGTGTGGTTGAGCTTTTGTACTTGCTAGTGCGAGCATATAGTTTCCTATATAGGCTTCTGGTTACGTCTGATGAGATACAAGGGGAGAGTTGTGAATGAAGAGGATGTTGTGAGTCAGATAGATAGAATGGATTTTGCCCATTTTTCACATTAGTCCATGTGCCTGTCCACCAGAATATCAACGAGCTCGTTAAGTGGCACATAGCTTACCCTGCTGACAACCTTTAAAATCCTGCGCAATAAGGTATAGTCTTCCTTCAGTAGCCCTGGAAAAACTAAGGCGGAACAATAGAGAATAATACGGGATTTAACGAATTGTAGGAGTAAGGATTGGGTTATGCCAGAATGTCTTAACTTCTTGATGTAGAAGGTGAGACGGAATATTTTCTTCGAAATCATCAAGATATGAGACGACCAGGAAAGATCAGCAGATAGAATGACGCCTAGGTATTTAATTTCTGACTTGGTTTCTATTTCAGTACTATCAATGTTGCAGACCTCGTGAGTGGTAACCAGTTTGTTTAGGTCGGATTTATGCCTAAAGGTGAAATTGACTGTTTGGCATTCAGAGGGATTTAAGGTGAGACTGTTTTCCTTGGACCACTGGCTTATTTCTGATAAAAAGCCGTTAAGTTTAGAGCAGTCACTTTGACATTTGACAGGCAAAGATACAGTCATGTCATCAGCATATTTAACAAAATAATGTCATTTGAAGATGGTAAGTCATGTAGAAAGAAAGAAAAGAGAAGTGGGGAGAGTACAGCACCTTGGGGGACACCAGCTCCAGTGAGCACAGCAGAGGAGGATTTGCCTTTTTTGTATACAGTGTACTGCATTGTGTTTGAGAAGTAGGAATGCAACCAGTTGGTGGCCCAGGACTCAGTTTGTGTCATAGAGACCTTATTTAGCAAGAGACATCTAGATACGGAGTCGAAAGCAGAAGTGAAATCGAGAAACGTGCAGTGGATGTATTTGGCACCTTTATCTAATGATGAGACGATACTGTTGTGTAAGATGGCTGCAGCGTCTAAAGTACTCCTACCCTGTCTGTAGGCAGGGTAGATTAGGTAATTTAAAATTAGATAATGAAGAGAAATTGGTCAGTTTTGACATTGCCAGTTTATATACCTGTATACCAATAAATATGGCCATAGAGGCAATCAGAAACAAACTCATTTCTGACCATGGACTCAAACTTAGAACGAAATTGCCACTTGAGGATATCATGCTGGGGGTAGAGCTATGCCTAATTTCCACAGAATTGAAATTCCAAGGGAGAATATACAAACAAACTGAGGGAGTTGCCATGGGATCACCAATATCCTCAGTTATAGCAGATATATTCATGGATAGGTGGGAAAACATGCCAATTGAAACGTCCACCCCCACCCCACATCGAAGTATGGTGAAGGTATGTAGATGACACTTTCACTGTACTTAGAACACAGGATATAGATAGATTTTTCGAACACATTAACTCAAATGTGGAGGCAATTCAATTCACCTATGAATTGGAAAGTCATGAAGGGGAGCTTCCAATGTTAGATAGTTGCATAAAAAGGAAAGAAGATGGGAATTTACAGAACACCCACACATGCAGACCAATATTTGGATTTCCGATCATCATACCTTATGTCAATGAAAATAGGTCTGTTGAAATGTTCAAGTGACAGAGCACAAAAACTAAGTAGTACCAAGGGAAATCTGAGATAGGAAGTGAGACATATTAGAGAAGTTTTGAAACTTGATAATTACCCTGAAGTGAGCAGGAACATGTCAAAATAATATTATTAATAATAATAGTGATAATGATAACAGTAATGATGTTAATGACGACATGTAAATCGAAAATGTACGGAATGATGAAAAAACCAACAATAAGGAATTTAAATCACCAGTAGTACTTTCATACAAAGAAGGAACCTCGGAAACCTAACGCAGAATTCATAACAAGGCAGGAATAAGAGTGGTTGGCATTCAAACACTCCACTAACCTAATTAGAAACAAACTTAGTCCTGTGGATCTACTTAAACATAACAATTTATACTATCCATTACCCTGCTCGAATGATTGTCAGGTCAAATACATAGGATGAGGAATTAGGATGGAGCCAGTCGCTCAGATTAACGGAACACAAAAACCTAGTAGAATCTAGTTTAGTTGACTCGAATAAGATAAAACAAATCTTGAGAATAGTTCACCTATACCACCCACTGTATGCAATTACACACAACCATACAACCAAATGATGATGGGATAAGATGACAGTTTTAAAATCTAATATAATAAAGTGGAGGGAGAGATTGATAACTGGAGCTTTATTCACCGAATCAACTGCAAACACATGTAATAGGAATGATTTATCACCTGTCGCAGATATGTGAAAAATTCTACTTCCCTCTATGACGACAAACAGGATAGAGTAAAGAAAACTTTAAGACGAAAGTTTCGAAGTTGTGTGATTATCCTTGATGGCCTGATTATGGACAGCAAAAAATTGTGTTCAAAACTTTGTCATACAGTAAATAATAATACTGTTTTACACTGCATGCGATATATTTATTAAACAAATTAAAATTGATATACAGACCAACCTTAGTACGAAACCGAATAAACGGCAATGTCCACTGTGTTAGTATGACATGTGTTACGTATGCCAAGCCATCGCCTCCCTCGACGAGCAATGTTAGCGGATATAGGGTCAGGCTGGAAAAAAGCTAGCGGCGGTCTAACAAAAACTTGGCATCAGTCAATGAAATCCACAACAGTTGGTCTAAGCCACGTAGGAAGGTGTAGACTTCCAGGCTGGGGTCCTCGGGACGGTAAAAATCTATGGTTGGAAACAATTGGTGACATGGCTCAAAATCGTTCTCAGTGGATGGCGCAGATGCATCCACTCCTTGTGACTTATGATCTTCAATGAAACTGTGTAGTATTTCTTTATTACTCCTTTGTCTCACATCTCTGCTCACTGTTTCTATTATGCTTTTCTTGTACTTTCTTCTCTTGCTTCGCGTGCTACACGGAATGTGGCGACTTGAACTTCCGCACATTTGTGCAAAGTTCTATGTCGAAAACAGACAGACTGTGTTAGTAATATCATCGGTCAGAAATACAATTCTAACAATCAGAGACAACCGACATGAACTCTGAATTTCTAAATTTAGCCGTACATAAATTCACTTGTTTTGTGAAAAAAATTACTTAGCTGAAAGACACAAAAAACACACAACCACACACACACACAAACACGTAGATCATGTCGGCTGATAGTGATTCATGTTTCAGCTGTTTAGCCACCGTCCACTAGTAGTGTCCACTGACTATTCACGTACGCACACGCGAGCAAACACACACACAAATAGGCATTAAATCAATAGTACTAATAGAATTTCATTTTTATCGTCAACAGGTCTTCCATTCTCTTTTTAAATGCATTAAAATTATGATATACAAATTGTTTTCATTTATTTATTTAGATTCAGCTTCAATGTTCAATGGTTGGCGGATCGATTAAAAAAAAAAACTTTATATTGTATGGTTGTTGCTCTTTTCTGTTTAATTTTTTTTTTGGCTTTTTTTCTGATTTTCTGCATACTTTTTAGCGTAGACTCAGTCTTTTTTTCCCTTTTTTATTACTTTTCTATGAACATTTGATGCAGAAGGAGAGAGAGAAAGAGAAACAGGAAATTTAGTGGGTGTTTTATTTTAGAACAATGCTTCATTGATACCTTGAACCAAAGATTGTGTTTATGTGATGAAGTCGATTTAAAGTATAAAGTAAAGGAACAGACTGTATGTGATACAGGCATACGTGTTGTAGGACAAGGCTGCTCCCCCCTCTCTTACTATCACTGATTATAGTCTCAGTTGTGGTCAATTGTGGATTATACGGAAAACTGTATCTGAGTGAAGGAGAGAAGATAGTAAAACAGTTGGACCGTTAGGAAGAGTCTAGAGGATCTGGATTGAATGGGTGATTGATGTCTAATCACTTTCAGTTAAAAACTAATAAGATTAGAGAAAAATCAGACGGTAAAGTCGGGACTCCAAGGGAATATAAATAAGATGGATATGGTGAAGATGACCAAATAACGAAGAGAGAGACAATAAGTACCAATTATTATCGACAGCTTATCTGGCTAGTGTCCTATCGACTAGTGGCAGACAGCATGGAGCAAAATGTCACAAAAGCAGAATCACATAGACAAGACAGACGTTCCTCACTTTGTAACCAGTCTAGAAATCTTCTGCACCAATCATATAAACAACAAGATTTGGATTCGCAACACTGACGTTAAGCTAATCAACTATTCTATGTGGGCCACGGAGAGTATATAAAAGAGGCTACTGCAGGGTTTTGTCGATAGCTGTCTTGGATGGCTCCATATTGACGATAAAATAGCCGGCTGGTCAGAAAGAATTAGCAGCAAGAAACTAAGAAAGAGTCAACCAAGAACTTTTTACTTAAGAAATATTTCGAAAAAAATAGAGATGGATCGGATACAAGCTGAGGACACCGTCGAGTGACAATAGATGTCATACTTTCGAGAAGGACAGGGATAGGGAACGACGAGTTGGGCGTCTGAGGATAACACGAGAGATATCGTAAAAGGAGGAGATAAGAGAGACTATGGGCGGTCAAAGAGACATCTGGAGAGGACTTCAGACACTATGACGTAATATAGATAGATGTCCTAGTGAAGCCACTTGGAACGCAAGGGAATAAGTATAAAATCAGTGTACGATCAAGAGGTGATGTCATCTAGAGAAGCATTGGGGAAAAAGGACTACTGGACACATGTTATCTCTTTAGTTTCAGAGTCTCCAGTAATAAGCACTCAAGACTCCATCGAGGATTCTCCCTAGGGGATATAGGCTTGATGAAGAGTTTTTTAACCATTCAACCACTGTGATGGATCTAGTGACCGACGAATTCTAACTTCTACTAATTCGCCACGTATGTATAGCGCCAGTCTATTGGCGAGTATCTACCCCTACACTAAATTTAATGAATCGCAGTGACCATTCCTCAGATCTACACTGTGAATTAAGACTTCAGATATACTCGATTCTCTTCCTTTTTTTATTAGCTAACCCCTTAAGCAAACATTAACTTTCATATCCTATCGTTGTCATCCTTGAACACTCAACTTTACCCCTGTCATACAAATTGCACTCGACAGCCTTGAATGTGATAGTACTTGAATGATTTCTTTTCCATTTATCTACGCATACTTGCTGGCCGGTAGGATCCCAGTTCATTTTCCGTAAAACGTTTCTTTCACTTCCTTATCGTATTAGCTCACCTGAACGTTTTCAGTTTGTTTAGAATCATTTCGCTAATGCACATGTCAATTATCTGAACTGCACTGAACTAGTGACTTACTTGACATGAATGTTAATAGCTAGATTTTTGTAACTTAAACTAAGTGGTGTAGTTGTTCACACTGACTTCACAGTAATGAACGCCTATCTTAATCTATAAATCTTCATTTGTGCTGCCTGTGGTTGAAGAACTGCTGCTAAAGTCAGTTATGCTCTCAAAATAATAGTGATGGGTGTTTGTTAATTGATTGGATTTCTTCATCACTTCTGTACTCTCAATTTTTGTCTGAATTTCTGTCTTGACTGTTTCTTCTGTGAATCTTCGAGGGTGTGCTATATAAGGCACTAGAATAACCACAAATTCTGGATGATTCTGAACCACTCTCTGATGGTACAGCGTTAGTCCGCCAAAATCTGTAATATATCTTCGACGAGAGTAATCAGCCTTGATGATACTGGAGAGTTGGAGGCCATCGGTCACAGGAAGCCTTACCTGACCTGGGTTTCCTGCTAGTTGACACTCGTCAGCAAAGCGTAGCTGCATCCTTGAAGGTACTCATGTCCCTCCTGAGGTTCGAAACCGCGTCACCTAGTGCCACAGTCAGAGACGTTACCACTGAGCTATTCGAGCTCGTAACTGACCTCCTGTAGGACTGTAGTGGGTATTTCGATTGGAAACTAGTAACTAGTGCGACTTGTCCAGTCCTGTCTATCAGTCAGGTTTGCAATGTGGCCACCATTCTAGGTAGCTTGCCAGTGCTACGGGAGGTCAGTCATGAGCCCGAATACCTCTGTAGTAATGTCTCTGACAGTGTGCAGCAGTAGGTGACGCGGGAACGAACCTCAGAAGAGAAATGAGTACCTTCAAGGCTGCAGATACGCCTTGCTGAGCGATAAGTGCCAACTAGCACGAAACCTTGGTCAAGCAAGGCATCCTGTTGCCGATTGCTTCCAACCATCCAATATCATCAAATCAATGTGTGCACCGTGATGGCGAGCTACCTAGAATGGTGGCCACTTCGCAAACGTGACTGAGAGAATTCGGTCTGCACTAAAGAAAGGACCAGACACGTCACACTAGTTACTAGTGTCCAATTAAAGTTATCAGACTTGTCGTCCAATTAATGCGCTCATTGGATCAAAGACTTCATTCACCTTCCTACTGTGAATCACCTGGCGTGTAGCTTCATTATGTAGCAGCTTGATAAGTTTTATAAATATCTGTGACACTAAAATTCAAGGGATTTGAGGTATTTATCGAATGATTTCCATCTGCCCTCGCAGATTCCCAACACTTTTATTCTATATCTTCTCGTTTCTGCGGCTACCTGGGCAGCCTTTCCAGCTTCGTACATTATACAAACATTCCGAATACCCATCCTTATTTCTACTTTCATCGAAAGAAGGCACATCGGATAACTGGCTCCCAGAAGGCTTTCTCCAGCCTGCGTCATTTTACTTCCCTGATTCCAGCGAAAAATAAGGTTATTGCTAATATTTTTAGTATTTTCAATACACTGATGCGTTGAAGTTTCTGTAGCAATTTAGTTAAGTTTTAGGGGTGGAGTTGCTAGTACCACGTCCAACCCTCCCTCTTTATCCGGGCTTGGGATCGGTTAGAAAACTAGCGAGCTAGTAATCTAGGCGAGGTTGAACACTCGCTGAGTAGGCCACTGGGTGACAACGCCGGGTCAGGCCGTTGCTCGATCAGAACCCAAAAGGGAAGTGACGAGTGGGACGTCAGTGCAAGGGTGACATGGAGGAGATCGTGTGAAGAGGAGGAGTTGAAACAGTATAGACTAACATGGTTGGATGCAGGTGAAAAGTAGAGCAGAAGGCAGAAGCAAGTGGAGACGTGCAGTTGAAGCCCTATGTTTCACTAGGAACCCTAGGGAACAATTCGATAGGAGCATCAGTTCTTTCATAAATTATACCTGTTTTTGCACAAAGTCTTCCATGTGGCCTATGTTTTTTCAATGTTTCAATGATGAAGTGGTTTCATGCTTTCTAAAGTATCCATACGGTTTTAAGCGAAATGGTAGAGAAGTCGTAGATATTAAAGTTTTCTCACAAGAGATATTATATTATATTACCATGTGAAAGACAGATATTAAACAATCAAACATTGAGATGATCACAGTTAAAACACTACAATTAATCTCTTAAAAAATCTTAATGCAAAAAAACTAACAACTTACTAGATATTATAAGCCATACCAAGAGGAAATGAAACCATCATTGACTTTTTAAATGAAACACACTTTGGTATGCATAAATAGGCATCCAGTAATAAAGCTGGCAGTCCATATGTGTGCTGAAATATATATATATATATATTATTTTAAAGAAAACGTGTATATGAGAATATAACGATATAATTTTAATGCAAGTCAAGTGATTACAGTTAAGAGTTAGCAAAGCAGTAGAATTTAAGTTATGAGAGTTAAATTCACTCTCTGTGATGATGAACGCTTAACTGGCTGCAACTTCTTATTTGATAGGAATTCGAAACATCCATTCAACCACCGCTATTAAATTGGAGATTGTTATTCAGTATATACAAGGGGAATGCTTTCAGGATAAAGCAAGAACAGTGGTTTGTGAAGAATAAAATCTTACCAGCATTGCTTATCATCTGCTTACAGGTCATAATAAGTATTAGGTATATCTACAGATACGATTTAAACATACTTGCACAAAGCTCATTTTTAAACAACGCTACTAATAATGATCATGCAACAATGGGATTTTTCGGCGTTACGTAATCAGACGAAAGAGAGGATTAAATCACCCAGTTATCAGGCAGGGCAAAGAAAGACTTATAACGTCTTCTTTCGTACACATAAATTGGGTTCTAAGCGCTTAATTGAGATAGATTAGGCAAACTTGAGGAGAAATGAACTCTTTTGCCTATTGATAATTTTTAACGATCTTGCGACGTTCACCTCATAACCCGTGTAATGGCGATGCCTGGCGATTGCGCTGTTGTCCTCTTGAGAAGTAGACTTTTGGTTAGTGTTCTCTCGACGTAACTGCTCCCGGAGATACATGTAAATTTGTATATACAGTTGGAGCTAACATGATAAGGATATCTTACGATTTTTGATTGCATCAAAGAGCGTATTGTTCGGTAGACTTGAACAAGCTTAACTGCAGAAGGGGCTCTACCTTATGGAATCCTCAATCTTCTGTTGATTATTGCTGTAATATTTTGACCTTTAAAATTAAGTTGAATGTAGATGGGCTTTTCTTCTACTGTGATTGGCTTGACATGTGGACCTTCAGATCTTCCGTACTTGTTAATGAACCTTTGAGGGTAACCGTTATCTTTCAACATGAATTCTTTCTCCGATTTCTCTACAGAGCATAATCTCATAGCTCTAGAGTATAGAGTCCTGATTGATGGTCGTTTAAAGCTATTTAGACAAAACTATTAAGGTAAAGGTATGGTCCATTCCATGTAGGCATTCGGTTAATTGACTTCTGGATACTACCACATTCTAGGCGTTGCAGGAAACTGTCGAGGAAATGAAACTTTCCATCATTTCTATGATCTTATGTAAATTCAATATTGGTGTGTGCGTCTCTGAATAATCTGAGTAGGTAGGAAGCATGACTTTCATTATTGCACACTTTAAATTTGTCATCGATATGTCGACAATAAGAAGTTGTTCCTCCGATTGAAGGCTTCACCTTTTTTCTTTCAAGTTTGGACATGCAGATATCTGCTAAAACAGGACTAAGTGGACTACCCAGAGCTACACCATCTGTTTTGCAGTTGTCAAAATGGGATTGCACATTCATGGTACACATTGGTAGTAGGCGTTGGAATTCCGACTCTGGTAGTAGGAGAAGATCAGACTACTGACAAATTATCTAAATGGTTTCGTTGATTGGGATCATTGAGAACAAGGATCTTGAATCAGATGACACCATGAACTTATTTAAAACGTTCATGTTGATTCAGAAGCGAATAGAATCCTCAGGACCCGTCATTGGTGAGTACATATGACCAAGGTTCTCAATTGAGAAACATATTATAGAGACAGGACATACACTTGATTTTCACATGTTTTTAAACCCATCCAAAGGACGTGCTTTTAGACTATCCTAATATTTGTCGAAGCCCTAGAGATTCGGAGGTTTAAATCGCCATTTTGCGTTCAAAAACAATTCGTTATAACACTAAACCTTCCTTGGTAAACTTTGTTTTGATACCAGCCAGGGTAGATGCACTAATACCTCTCCTATATTGTTGATTGATCCACATTGTTACACTTCAAAATGGCGGCATTTAAACTTGACCTAGGTAGTCTATTTTCTCACCTATTAACCATTTATTATTTCAGACATATGTATTCCTTTGACAAGTCCGAATGCGATAAGATTTTTTGAAATGTGTTACGCGAAAACACATTACGCGCTTCAGACTGAGTATGTCTTCTTCTCCCCTGTGTAAAAATCAGAACTTCAAAATAACCTCGTCAATGTCATTTGACAGCCATGAAGAACGCAAGTACAGAGAACGTCCTGTACAACAAAAATATTTAATCACAATCAAACATAAGAGGTACGTGTGAATTAACAAGAATATTCCTAACAAGGTTGGATCGAAACCCTGGCAGGAAGGATTATGCTTCAGTATTTCTCACAGACAGTAAGACAAGCTGGCTGCCTACTAGCTCTAATAATTTCCCTGACTGAGAACGGTAGACTGGATAAAGCGACGGACAGCAGAGAGGAAACAGGCATAAAATGGAGTCACACAAAACACTTGCAAGATCTGAACTTCGCCGACGTGATTTATGTCAGATTTCCCACAAACTCGAAGATATGAAAGTGAAAAGCAACGAGTTGGCAGAAGAAGCATCAAAGAAAGACATGACTTCAGATGAACATAGAGAAAACAGAGGTGATGAAGATTCCTGGCAGATAACAACAAGCAACGATCAGCATAAATGGAAGGAATCTGAAACAAGCGACTTCCTCTACCTACCTGGAAAACATCGATTCAACTACTGGCGAACGGAAGTGATGGGGATATCTCAGAGAGGATCGGGAAAGCAAGACAAGCTTTCATGAAAAATACGATCCGGATTTTCAACTCCAGTGTAAAGTCAGTGTAACTCAATTTACGGATAGGAGACTTGAGGAGGCGTCACAAAAAGCACTTAAAACAAACTACGGATCTACATCAACAGCTGTCTTCACTCAATACTACTCAAAATCAGAAGGGAGGTCAGAAAACATAAATAACAGGCAACTCTGTGAACGACGAACCAACCCAGCAGGAAGCGATTGTGCAGAAAACATGCAGGAAGAATTAGAGGTGAATTGGACGTAGTCTGAGAAAACCATCAAGTGAGTGAAATAAAAAAACCAGGCTATTACTCGAGTGGAACCCAACCGGACGGGAAGTGGCGAGTTGTTGCTAGAGTGACATGGAGAAGGTCACGTGCAGAGGAGATGAAAACATGTTGGAAGAATTGCAGGCAGATGAAAACGTGGGCAGAGAACCGAACTCAATAGAGATGGGCAGCTGATGTCCTATGTTCCTCCTATAGGAATTAAATGGAAGAATATTAATAATAGTATATAATAAATCTTAAAGTTACACTAAGAAATGTCTACTTCGTGATCAACAACGTTGACTTTCAAAAATAAATAAGGCCTAACCTTTTCCTACTTTTTTTCAAATTATAACATTGATAGAAAGTTCATGTTCTGTAGATTCGTTCATACACTAAGTAGTAGTTTAAAGCGTATTTTGGTCATCTATACCTCATTCCACTACACATATTGTTTACTCTTCAAAATATTTTTCGACTTACTTTTGTTTTGTATTTTTAATCGAAACACTTGATTTTTGATCTCACATGAACTTTGATCACAAGTAATTCTGTTTTTGTTAATGTTTTTTGTGTTTATCCATTTTGCTGACAGTTTTAACTTGTATGAAATTTCAGTTTTCTGTTTTGGTTTATATTTTTGATCATAAAATTGAGATCTGCAAAGTGAACATAAACCTGAATTTCAATGGGGTTTTAAAAATAACTAAATTAGTTTAGATACTGTCATTAAAATAAGATGGAGATTATCGGAAAACTAATGTGAGATGTGTTACAGGATTACATCATGAACTGACATTGGTTACAGAACCATTGTAAACCTGTGAATAGTGGACAGCTGTTTCGTCCTAGTTTGAGATCTTTCATAGCTACACACCCAACACACGATTCGAAACCACGACCCCCTAGGTAACAAGGCCAGTGGTTGCGCTATGTTATTAATAGGCAGAAATGGAATTCATATGCTGACCGTTGGATCGGGTCACAGTGTCCTAAAGGTCTACGAGCTTGATCGCATTGAAACCGGAAGGTTCTCCGTTCGAAACCAACCGATGGCTGCGAAGTGATGTACATACCCAGGCTCATTCATTTCAAAAGATTCCAATTCTACGTAATGGATTACCTTTCCTTCACTTTAATCACGAACTGTTTAGATAAGCAGCTCACTCTCTCTCTCTCTTCCTGACTATTTTTAGCCACTTTTATAGGCGGTGAATCATGCGACTTCGATTCACGTATCACCTTTAAAGCTGTTCCATGGGAAATCCATTAAGCGTTGAGATATTTTAGCTGCTAACATCATTAATTAGTGTTGTAAAACTGAGCTTTTTGATAACTGTGAGTGAATTATCTGTGATTTGTGACTGTCATTTTGGAGTGTTCCAAAGATTCTAGATTCCTTCGTGTTCAGCAGGTAGTTTCAGGACGGACACAAGCTACTGGAGTTGAATGCACCCGGTAAAAAAGAGGGACCAATGTTTGTCTGATTTATTTTTTGGAACCCTGCCTTCTGTCTACTATACTATAAGAGAGGCTTGATGAAATGCTTATTTAAGAGGATTCAGTGTATTTGTAGGGTTGATTTTATAGGGAAAGAAAATGATATATTGATGGATACTTTTGTATAAAACGGATATGCTTTAAAATGTTTACACAGGTGTAGAAGTCAATCAGTCTTTAAACCTACAATCAATACCAACTCTAGGGAAAATGTCTTCATCAAATTACCATCTGACGGGAAAATAAACGGTGGGATTTTGAGACAAAGGTTGACATCAGTCATCCAAATGACCTATTATACAGCCCGACTTGTAATTATCGAAAAAGTCGAAAATATGCTCCACTTCAGACCTCAGAAGTGCACAAGTGATTGTTATATGGGAGAGCCTATAACAAAATGGCTATAAAAACGAATGAATTCTGGAAAACCAATAGGCACAGATGACACACTATCAACTTCATCCCT